GTATGTATGTATGTATGTATGTATGTATGTATGTATGTATGTATGTAATTGTATATGTATAAGAACATATTGGATACAGACAGGATTCCAATAAAGACCAGCATCTGGGCACAGAAAAAACTGTCAGTTTTCATAAAACTAATTTCTATCAAATGAGCACCCTATTTGCAAAAATTAATTTAACTCATCTGGTTTATAACTACATGCCATTTTGTCTCCTATTCCTGCTCCTAGCAAAAACAGAGCAAAGAAGCAGAATAGAAATGGGGAGGAAAAACCAACTGGGAAGAAAAGGAAAATAAGTGAGAAGAAAGAGCTGCAGAGAAAGAGACAAAAGAAAATAGTTACAGAAAACTCATCTTCAGTGCTGATACAGAATGAATGAATGCTGTTATATGGATTTTTTTTAGTGTTCTATAGTTAATTTTCTTGTATCATTAATTTTCTTTACAATATGGAATTTCCTAATCATTACACATAGTAAAGCACTAAATTTTTATGTTTACCTTGTCGATTCACTTCATTTTGAAGCAATTCTTCCATTGCTTCTTCCTCAGCAATATCTAATGGAGTGTTTCCTTCACTGTTTACAGCTCCTACATATGCTCCTTGACTAATCAGGTATCTGTTAATGGAAAGAAGAAAAAATGACAAATATGCTGAATAGTTTTAATGTAAGTATAGATTTTTTTTCATAAAATAGTAAAGCATAATCTGTGCATATGGGGGAAATTTGTAAAAGCTTTTAATAAGATTATCTCAATGTAGTTGGGTCCTTAATAAGAACCCCTTAAATTAAATTATTATGTTTACAATTCTTCTATATCCTGTAGATTCTGGTCCTTAAAGTGGTGACAGTAAACAGCACACTTAGTGTATCCCATGCAGTATGCTTTTCCTGATATTTTTTTAAAGTATTGTTATACTTAAAAATAAACATATGGAAGACTAGCATAATGCAAACTGGAAAGACTGAAATGTGGCTTTCTTTTTCAAAATGTTTCATAAACTCTAAACTAATCCTTGGAAAGTAAAATGGTACATGTGTGTATTTTTCCCTAGAAAAGGTAAAAATATTTGCTAAGTATTAAAGGGCATTTTGGGAGATTACGGGGAACAAATTTACTAGGTTCATGTAAAGTCATTTTGTGAGAATGACCATTATATGAAGTTAGATGCCTAGTTAGAGTTCACCTTTGGCATGAATGAAGGGTCCAATCTCAAGACAACTCTTTTGGAGTGAAAGATACAGGGTTCCGTCCTGACAGAAAGTGCAGCCAAATCCAAAACCCCTCTGGCTGAGGTGATGGCTACCAGGAAGGTCACTTTATACGACAAAAATTGCAGACAAGTAGATCTCAGTGGTTCAAAGGGAGCCTCAGTCAGCGAATGCAGTACCTTAGAGATGTCCCATGTGGGGTATCGATGAATCACTGGAGGTCGAAGATTCATCGCCCCTTTAATAAATCTGTGGATGGTCAGATGCCAGAATAAGGCCTCCGTGCCCCCCCCCGGAAAGTACACAAGACAGGGCCCCCACCTGCTGTCGTAATGTGTTGAGTGACAGGCCCTTTGTCCAGTCCCTCTTGGAGGAAATCCAGCACCTGGGCAACCAAGACCGCTGCAGGATCCAACCCAGATTGGGAGTACCAGGCACAGAAAGCCCTCCAGGCCACATTGTAAATACAATTGGTGGAAGGCCTGATACAACCATCCAGCAAAACAATTAAAACAATATTTAAAAGTAATTAAACATAAATATAAATAAGATCACAGGATGATGCATGAAAATCACACAAATAATACAATGACTTTGCAGGCTCCCTCTTCCAAGAGATTGCAAACCTCCTGAAAAAAAGATACATTTTAAGAGATTTCTAGAAGTTCCAAAGAATAGATGCTATAGCAGAAAAGGCTCATCTTCTAGATTCCATCAGAGTGTACCTTTTTGAATGTTCACATATTTCTCGGCAATTTAGTATTTTGTCCACAGCAGATTTTAAACTGTATGGCATATACTTTCCTGGGACTTTGATCTACTTTGTCCATGGTTCATATTCTCCAACTGACCAGACTCTTATAAGCTTCATCCTGATGGCTCTTGATGGTTTGGCCATTTGGCATTTCAATTCCATTACTGTTGGTAATTTTACCTGGATTTTTGCTACTACAGTTAATCCTCTACTTACAACCATTTGTTTAGTGAGCAAAGTTATAACAACACTGAAAAAAGTGATTAATCACTATTTTTCACATTTATGATTGCAGCATCCCATGTTCACTTGTTAAAAATTCAGTGGTTCACTTAACTGTCTTGCTTAGCAATGGAAATGGATGTTGGTATAATTACCTGAGAACGCCCTTTCTATCTACGCTGCAAGAAAGTCCAGGATGGGTTAGACTCTTCCCTATTACATCATAGAGCGCATCTGCCTTGTATAAAAAAAGCCAGCCTCTCGCCAGATCCCCAGCTTTAGGCGAAGCTACCTGACAGACTCAGAGTGTCTATGGAAGCAAATAACAAACAAGTTAGAAAGAATCCGCTCCCTGCACGCACCGGACATAATCAGGGTGAGGCTGGACTCTCTTGCAGCATAGATAGAAAGGGCATTCTCAGGTAATTATACCAATACCCTTTCCCATCCACGCTGCGCTGAGAGTCCAGGATGGGACTTACCAAAGCCAACATGTCCATGGGAGGGCCCATGTCTGGTCTGATTACTCCATTTGTGGACCATCCTCTGAAGCACCCTTCGTCCAAACGCTGCATCCACTGAAGCGAAGGAGTAAATGCAATAATGTCTAATGAAGGGTGACAGAGGCGCCCAAGTAGCCACTCTGCAGATCTCCTCCAACGAAGCCTGAATATCCCAAGCGGCTGAAGTGGCAGCACTCCTGGTGGAGTGTGCCATTAGGTTGTTAGACACCGGAAGGGATAAAGTCTAGTAGGCTTTGGCAATACAGGACCTGATCCACCTGCTTAGGAGGGGAGGCCTTACAGCCCATCGAATTGTGGGAGAAAGACACAAACAAGGCCTTGGTTTTTCTGAATGCGGCCGTTCATTTGATGTAGATACATAAGGCTCTCTTTAACATCCAGTTTATGCCATTTATGTTCCAGATCAAGATAGGATGAGGACAGAAGTCTGGTAATACAATGTCCTGGGCTCTATGGAACCAGGTATTATTTTTTCGGACAAAGGTAGGGTCTAATCGAAGAACCAACCTGTTGGCATGGAAGGAACAGAGGTCCTGCCTAATAGAGAGAGCTGAAAGCTCCAACACCCTCTTAGCCAAAGTAATGGCAACTAGAAAAACCACCTTAAAAGTTAGAAACTGAAGTGACAGTGATCTAAGGGGTTCGAAAGGAGACTCTATCAAAGCCTGCAGCACCTTGGGAAGTGCCCATGTGGGATATCTGTGGACCACTGGTGGGCAGATATTAGAGGCCCCTTTTAGGAACCTACACACAGAAGGATGATGGGACAGTGATGAAAATTGATCCCAGTGGAGAACGGTCAACAGGGCCACCACCTGGTGGTGGAGAGTATTGGGTTTATTGGGCAAGACCCTTCTGCCTGTGACCAACACCCCTGGGCCATCTCACCTTCCAGAATGGCCCCCTAGTGCTGGAAACTGGCATTCATGGAAAGCAGCAATCTGTCCGGCTCCTTGAATGGATGTCCCTTCCAAAGGGCAGGAGACTGCCACCAGCAGAATGAGCGTAGAATCTGCTCCCATTGAAAAGGGAGCAGGAACCATTGGAGAGTCCGAGAGTGGAGTCTCACCCACGGGACGATACCAATGCAGGAGATCAGTTTCCCCAGCAGTCTGGAAAGATGGGCCAAGGGAACTCCGCAAACACATCAATTTTATAGTGCCTGATGAAGGGCGATGGAGAGGCCCAAGTTGCTGCCCTACAAATTTCGTCTATTGGAGCTTGCGTGGCCCATGCTGCTGACATTGCTGCACTTTGTGTGGAGTGCACAGTTATGCCTCTAGGTACAGGAAGTGACTGAGCCTCATACGCCTTCGCAATCATGGCTCTCAATCACCTGCCAATTGTTGAAGGTGAAACTTTGTGTCCTTGGGTGGTAGGTTGAAATGAAACGAAAAGAGCTTCCGTTTTCCTAAATCCAGCAGTACAATCTAAGTAAATGCGTAGGGCGTGTCACATCAAGCCGATGCCATTGGCACTCGAGTCTGTGAGTTGGTCTTGGGCAAAAGTTCGGGAGCACCAACTCCTGTGCCCTGTGGAAAGTGGAATTAATTTTTGGCATGAACGTTGGATCTGGACGGAGGACCACTCTGTCATGGTGAAATATACATGGGTCTTTTCTTACTGACAATGCAGCTAAGTTCGGAGATTTGTCTTGCTGACATAATAGCAATCAAAAAGACTACCTTGTATGTCAGAAAATGGAGACTCGTCATCCTCAGAGGCTCAAAGGGTCCCTCTGTTACAGCAGAGAGGACCTTGTCAAGATTCCAAGTTGGATAGCGGTGAATCACCGGGGGCCGTATATTCGTGGCTCCATGAATGAAACTACGAATACGATGATGTGAAATATGACCCCAGGAAATAACCGAAGCCAATGCCGCCACCTGCCTTCGCAACATGTTGGGAGAAAGACCTCTGTCCAGACCATCCTGAAAGAACTCCAGTATTTGTGCCACTGATGGAGAAGTGGGTTCAATATTGAAATTAGCACACCACTTACAAAGTATGTTCCAAGTGGCATCGTAAATGCAATTTGTTGATGGACGTCTGGCCGCCTGGATGGTGGAAATGCCCCTGTTGGAAATTTTTTCGCCCTTCAGACATCGCTGCTCAATCTCCATATGGCAAGGTGGAGCCATTGAGGATCTGGGTGTTGAACTGGACCGTGAGATAGAGTGATTCTGTCTGGTGGAATCCTCCATGGTTCCACTAATGACAGATCCCGAAGGTCTGCAAACCACGACTTTCTGGGCCAGTATGGTACTATTAGCAGCAGCTCCGCTCTCCCCTCCAGAAGCTTTTGGATCACCTTGGGGATCACTGGAAGAGGGGGAAATGCATACAGTAGGTCTGGTGGCCAGCGGCATCAAAGGGCATTGATATTCTCTGCTCCCTGGGTTGGGTACCTCGATATGAATCTCGGGAGTTGGGCGTTGAGAGGTGAAGTCACTGGTTGTCCAAATCTCAGGGCTGCTTCTTGGAACAGTGATGGATGTAACTACCATTCCTACTGATCGACTGTGGCCCTGCTCAGCCAGTCTGCCTGGATGTTGGACAGACTGGAGATATGCTCTGCCCTGATGGAGAGCAAGTTCCTCTCCACCCAAAAGCACAACTTCTCTGCCTCCCTCATCAGTTAGCCTGAGTGGGTACCCCCGTTTGTTTATATGAGCCTTTGTTGTTACGTTGTCTGTTAGAATCAGGACGTGTTTGGACCGAATTAGCAGAATGAAACTGAGAAGAACCAGGTGGACAGCTCTGAGTTCCAATAGGTTTATGCTGTATGATTGTTCGAGAACAGACCAACATCCTTGTGCCATGTGGTGTAGGTAGTGCACTCCCCATCCTAACAGGCTGGCACCTGTCGTAATGATAGATCTGTTGGGTTCCTTGAATAGGGAACC